CTCTCTCGGGTGTGGTTTGCAGGAAGTTATGTGTCATCTCGAATGCGCACGCGGCTTTTGGACGGATTAAGTTAATCGATATGCCCTTCCTTTTTTCCATACCGTTTACGAAGTTCCCTTGCAGTGGTTTACGAAAATTTTTGTTGTCTTGGTGAAAATAAAGAGACGATATCGATCGACAGTATGTATGTACGTTTCTTTTATCGTTTTTTATATATCTATTAATGCCGCAATTTGGGGAAACAGACATTTATTTTGACCGCAGTATAAAATGATGTAAAATATGAAACATTTTCTCATTTTTATTCCGACGTAAAAAATTTTTACAATGGAGGAACAAAAATACAGCTAGATGTATTAAATATTGTTGTAAATCTCGGCATACATTGAATTTTAATGCATGAAAATATTATTTTTTTAGAGTTTCAAATGACTTATATTTTAAATTACTTCTCAGAAATCCGTTTTAAACTTATTACATATTAAATTTGTTATTGGAAGATATTTCACTTCTTCAGAGTAGAACATCTAAAAAAATATTGAATGAAATTGTAAATGACATTAAAAGATGTAATATTTATGGATTTAAAAATAGAGAAGACTTTTCCGTTGCGCAAAATTCATATAAAAGACTCTCTGCATTACCCGCCTTGCCAGAAATATATCGTCCCCTTTCTGTTTCATATATCGAATTACTTCAACGATCTGGAAAAATGAAATACAGTCCTCGAACGAATACAGTTACGCGCCGAGAAATTTGAGGGTCATGTTATCGCCGACGATTTATAACTTTCATCCGTTGTCTTGATACTACTTTTTAAAGATGTCGTACATGTAATATCAAAGAAATATTATATGCTATATTTACTGGCAATTGACATAAATCCGATTGCAAATTGTACCAACATGACTATACAGGAACAATCGTTCCTGTTTTTTTTTTCCTTTTTCTTTCAATTTTTTTTGTAATTGTTCCTTTTTCAAATTTTATTATCTTTATATTCCATTCAGTATTTTATCTACTTGTGGTCATTGTGCGTTGAATCCTTAAATTATCTATACCTATTAGTTTTAATAATAGCTGTAAGATTTTATTTATTAATGCTGTGATTTTTATTAATGCAGTGATTTTATTATTTCTGATATCATGACACATACCGAGATAGAAAGAAATTTTTCACAATTTGACATTTTTAAGCGCCGCGAAGTTTTATCTCTGAATGGCCTCCACGTACCGATACGCGACGATTCCGTATTTTTTTTTCCTCAACGACTGCGGGGATTACACGTGCGGCTTCATAACTCCCCGGTCATGATATATCGTGGCCGGCAACTTCTCTCCGTTGGCAGTATTAATCGGCCATGAATATAATATCTGGCGACGTCGATTTTCCCGTACGATCGCGCATCGTGGCTGTTCTTCATGCTATTTTTTATCGGTCGGACGTGGAATCCAACTGGTCTCTGGGAAAGGGGAAAGTACGCGAATTTAACGTATAACTTTCTCGCGGCCGGAATGGCCTTTCTGTTAAATTGAATTAAACTCGGCCACCTGAGCACTCAAACTTTGCGATCCACGTCAACAGACGACGCGGACGCGCGAGATTCTGATCCTTAAATCCTTATACCGGATCATGGAAGCCGTCTTGTCGTGAGTTTCTCTAATAACGAAGTCGCATTTCTAACGATGGCTGGTACGCTGTGTTAGTTACACAAAGTCGATTACAAGAATTCAATATCTTCGAGCGCGACGTAAATGCAATTAGTATTTTAAGATTCTCTGAAGGACTTGGAATCCTTTATCACCGTGATGCGATTTTAAATTAAAATATCGATTTCTCTTGGGAATTTTATGGGTTTATTAACAGTTATTGAATGAGGCCGCCTTTTGCGTTTTATATGGTTTATCATGCAATTATTGTGTGTATATTTCCGATTTCTATGTAATTATCTTTATGAATTTAATTGGGTTGAATTAGCGTAAGCGTAAATTGAATTAACGCGGCAGTGCAGTTCTGCATTTAACGAGCTCTATAGAAATAAAACTTCGCTCTTTATCAACATTCGTTGTCCGATTCTCTTCAAATATCATAAAACAACATAATTCAATGCGCTGAATTACATACGATAGTGCTCATTTGATTGAATTATGACATTGATTTATTTGTCAAATTATTAATGTGCTATTTGCATTTTGTATATTTATATGTATATCTTTATTTACATCAATCAAAATTTATACTAATTACAGTTGGATATATTGCGTACATTATTTTTCAAGAATAAAATAATTATGTTTTTAATATAATATTTTTTACATTCAAAAATGACTTAAATAAATTTATGGAACAAACTACGATTAATAATGTGGTATTTCTAGAAATATTCTCTGCTGCATGTAAAAGAATTGAAAGCGGAAGAAAGAACGAAGACAATAAAGATTGAAAAGGGAGATTTAAACTAGAGGAAATCCGTTAAATCATAGAATTCTTTATTTGCCCTGATAACTGTCGTTTATAATATCTCTCAAATCTAAATTTCGCTTCGTGTCCAAAATGTGAGAACGAATAAAATTTACCGCTTAAATTGAAAACTGATAGGAGCTCGGCTCGTGATGATGGAGTTATCTAAAATTTCCGATAGCAGTAGCGATTTGAAGAATTTTATGTCATGCACTCTCTTCTCACATTTATTTAGGAAAAATTTTTTGAAAAATCCCAAGAAATGTAAATACTTACAGACAGGAATCTTTTAGAAAATCACATTGCTTTATATTTAATAATTTGTCATTGTTTTAATAATATATATGAGCAAGTTCTAGAAGTATTTGACTCTGTTCTTCAATCTTTAGATTTTCTATAGATTTCCGCTAACATTAAATATTTCCACTGTATAACCGTAGTTCATTGCGTCGCGGCGCCATGGTTCCTAAGTTGTAGAGAAGATCATGATAAACACATTGGATAAAGAACTGGGCAACGGCAATAAGTAGTAGTATCGCTGATATAACTCTACAGAACTTCTCTGGCCTCTCGAGGGATTTAGCCATCGGCCGGCTACAGCATCTTTTACGATTATATTCTTAATGGTCTCGCCTCGTTTCCTCGCCGCGCATCAATCGCATCGAAGGGAAAAGAAATGGCACACAGACGATCATTTTCCGGAGTGGATCGGAAAATATAGTCAGAGAATTCGAAGGAATATATATAGTCAGAGGATTATCGCGCTGATCTAATCTACTTATTTTACGAGACAGCCGCGAGACAAGATAATAGCGACAGATCGTATACGATGCGGGCTGTTAAGAGCTTAACTACGCAAATTTGTCGAGGTTCCGGAATTGCGTGGTTGGCTCGCCAACGTGTAAGCAAACCGCATTCACTACGTGTCATCACGCAGTGGTAAGCGCATTGTTGACTTACGCGAAATCTATGAATATGTATGAGCAACGATTTCAATGCGTCTGGTTCGTGAATGTTTTCAGTCCGACTAAAACGTGAGAAAAAAATTCAAATTCAACACGCATGATTGCTCTTTAAGAGACGAGGTAGGAAGAGCGAGAGAAAAAGAGAGAGAGGGAAGCGGAGGAGGATGAGGGCAAACGCGTATTCGAAATATACCTGTGCGGCCTACATTGCATATATGTGTATGATATAGCACGTAGAAAATGTTCCGCGATATTTTTGATCGATCAATGTGCAGAGCTCTTCAACACGATTTTGTCGTAAATTCAGTTTTCCTGGTAGATTAATGGCGATATAAATGTAGACGTGATATATATGTTTTGATAACGTGCGCTCCTCTGTAATGAAATTCTATCCGTATTGTCTATGAAAAATAACTTGTGATATCTTCGAACATTCGATACGCGCAACGTATCGCTGTTTATCAAGATTTCATCGCGGACTCTTGATTTCCTTGATTTATAGCGCATCGCAACGCGGATATGTGATCGATATCCCTCTGAGAAGATACCGCCACAAAACATTCTATTCTTTTATTCCGTGTGTAATCTCGAATTGCGTTCCACTTCACGTTTCACGCGAGGCTGCTTAGATCGCGTGGACTAAAACAACCTGAAATATCAAATATGCAAAAAGTTTTATATCTCGTAAATATTAATTATTATCTCGTCAGATTGTGTTTGCTTTTAATTTCATTCACGTCAGGACTGAGTTATTTGACTTTCCATTGCTGCTTACAAAAGTGAGCGCTCTCCCTCCCGCCTTAATATCATGATATTTTTACATTTTACGTGGACGACCGGTGGAGGTACCGCCAACACAAAGTGAAACCTACTCTCCCGTAGACTAATTTTAACAAGCATAGCTATTCCTGCCCCGCCCGAGTGCAGTTGGCATCTCATATATTTTGCTAATTCAGTGCGCGTACGGCACTTCACTGTAATTCAGAAAATAATGCAAAAGGTGGAACGAACGTAACCCGGCCTCGTCCCTGCGCAATTTGAAAAATTAATTGCGTAAAGAGGGCAGAGTTCGCACGATGAAACACCCGGTACGTAGACCACGTGCGAATTCACCCTCCGATAGTCCGCAATGCGGAATTTCTGGTTCGAACGTGTAACGCGGGGTAACGGAAAGGAATACAGAAAGACTTTCGTAAACTTACAAGACTATTTCGGAATCGCGTTAACTTTTACTCGGCTGTCGCAGGGGGTGTTCAGTCAATTCTCGAACAGGGCAGTTTTAAAATACAAGACGCCGGTGAAACTTTCGCGCCGCATGAGCGCAATTTCGCGTCTTCTGTACGTGACGCGCGAATCTCTTTTTGAAGGAAAAATCGAATAGCATGATTATAATCTTTCTACGATTTTGCGAATTAGTCAGCTCTAGATTGTAACTCTTGAATTTTTATAAGGACATGACGACATATATAATAAAACGCAACATAATCTCGCTTGTTAAATATTCATTGAATTAAAACTAGCTTTACATTTTATCATGTGTCACTAACGAGTTATCTCTTTTTTTCTGTTACAGGTAAGTCATGATTTTATGACGGAAGTTTTATCTACTTCGTGCAAGCATTTATCAGGTAATAGTATCTCGTATGCCATTTATTGAATTCATCATTTTTCGTTTATCCTGACACGTAGAAAAATCAGTCTTTTTATATGCAAATGGCTAATTGAATTTTATAAAGTAATGGCCTTGCGAAGTTTATGACGTACAGCGGCGGCGTACAAATATATTATATAATACTTATGCATATGCACGAAAATTTATAAACAAGATACGCGCGTTCCAGATATTCCTTTAACGACATTAATTTATGTTTTTAAATTACAACAAAATTTCATATTGTATAATAATGCTCTTTCTTTGCTTGAGCATTTTAATTACATTATCAGTAGCATAGAGCTCAGAGAGATGAATATCAATATTAAATCCTTTCGTAATATACGAGGACAAGACTTACAATTATTATTCAGCAGGAAAAAGTTCATCTCCCACATTTTGTTGGGAAAATTTAATTCGACTATTATTTGATACAAGCTCGTCGCGTTATGATTACGGAATTCATTTTGGCGAAAACGCCGGGATAAGCCTCATACCCGTTGCATCCTCCATTTGCACGAAGCTTCCACGAAGCGCGCTCGGTCGATTGCCTTATTGATGAATATTCTCCCCGGTCTGTATCGCAGCATTAATGACCAGCTCGCTTGTCGGGTTTGATTTCTCTTCAAAGATTTATGAAGATTCTTTTCGCCTACGCCAGTTTTCTCTTGTCTGCAGACTTTATCGTGACGTATTGTGGTGTTTTGGCAGATTTCAACAAACGATTAATTACAGCATAAACAAAATAAAACATTTGTTGGCCTTTATTTCCCTTTGACTGCTTGAATTAATTGTCAGAATAGAATGGATATGTGGCTTATCTCGCTTTTGTGCGCTATTATTTAAATGACTTTTCAAAGATTTCAATATATTCGTAATAATCCACGCTGATCATATAACGGCAGTAAATTATGTAAAATACAGCTCTGTTTAAAACATTTGGCGCAAATTAATCGGGCTAATTTTATCTGATATTAATGCAGAAATTAATTAATGAAGCTTGAAGTCGGAAATGATAATTCCAAGAAACAAATTTACAACTTTCAGTTTTCCAAAACATGAAAAAATGTATTTTTATTACATATTTTTATTTGAATATATTTATAATAATATATAGTAGTTATAATAATAGTAGTATATACTATATATTATTATAAATATAAGTTTACACAAGTTATAATTATAATTCTTACATTATTTTTTATATGAAGATTTTTAATAGAATCTGTAATTCATAATTGCATATATCATATACTTACCTCAGAATAATAATATATTAATAATGAAAAGTTAATTAGATATTTATCATTAATATTATTCCTTTGCAAGATTTTAATTTGGATTATATAACTTCCATGAATACATCCAATAGAAAATTAATAATTATATCGATTAAATTAAATTTTTACCTCTAATAAATAC